TTTTAATTTTTTTTTTTTTGTGCTAAAATGCTTGGATTGTCTTTTTGGTTTGAGCTTGTTCTTGGTGGTGGTTCTGTGCCACCGAGGGGGAGAGGACACTTGCAGGGAACCCACGGAGGCACACGCCAGAAACCTTCTTAGGGTACCACCAGCAGGTTTTTGGAGCAGAGGAGGTGGCCAAGARGGTCAGAGCCAAAGCAAGGTGCTCTGTGGGACAGCGTGGGTGGCCCAGGGGTGGCAGAGCTGTCCCCATCCCTGCGGGGCAGGTGCCACCCTCACTGCGCCATCRCCGCCGTCTTTGCTGCTACAGCACCTGGCCCCATCCCAGCTCCTCCCACCGAAACCAAACGCAAATTTCACCAGAGAACTCTGCTAAAACCGGGGCAGGATCGAGGCCACGTCTTCAAGCAAAGACTTGGAGATCACAGAGGCACCTTTTCAACTCGACTGTCCCCCCTTGCCTCCTACGTGGGCGCTATTTAAAGCGGTGCCTCCAAGTTCCGCGGGTGGATCCCTGCGTTAAACCCTGACTGCAGCTATTAGGAGCCGTGCTCACTTAGCAGGAACTGAAATCTGAGTTGGAAATTGTAGCCAAATTCCAACACCCTCTCCTGTTTATGCAGCTCCTTCCCACCATGCGGCAAGCCGTACGTTYGTTCACTGGGTACGTTCTGTCTCTGCTCAACTGCCTTCCTGCCCCCACAGCTTTCCTCCCCAACTTTCTAAATGAGAAGGCTCCAATCCCCGCTGTGATTCCCACTTTCTACAAAAACCCAACTTTTTTTTTTTTTTTTTCTCTGGAGGAAGCTGAGAGCGCTCACCCTTCTGTCCCTGTGGGTGCTGTAGCCTCCACTTCCAGTACAATATCTGGGAATATAGGATTGCAGAGCTGCAACCTGAGAATTACAATTGCATAGGGGGGTAGGAGAGATATGGCCAAACACCTCATTCACACTTGAAACTGCATCAAGACAACAAGCTCGTGACACTCCTCACCTTTCCTAACTCGTTCTGTGGAGACTGGTTGTCGTTACCTGCACAATRATTAAAAAAACCCAAGTCAATCCCCTCTCCTTGTCTTTGGCATTTGGATAAACCAAGCTTATAGGCAGGTCAGAGTGGGGCTCCACATCCCAGCAAACCTCACCACGCTACTGCTGAGGAGAGACAGGCTTCTGGTGGGCCTTCAGTGCAGCCCTAAAAAGAACATATGGGGATCTATAAGGTCCTTTGCTGTCTGAGCCCACACCTGCCCCTTTAGGCTTGGGCTGTAAGGGTGGAAGACCTGTATCACGGAGGGGCAGATGTAAGCAGAGAGCATGCACAGGGTTTTCAGAGGGGCTGAGGATACTTTTGGGGCTCCTCCACCCTGTGCAAGCGTTAACAGTCACATTGCCTCGTCTGGAAGCTGATTACTCGCCCTCGAGGTGACTGGGCASGGAGCTGTGATTAGCAAGTGTCAAGTTCTGCAGTGGTTAAAAAACAAACAGGGGGCACTTAAAACCAGGCAGCGTCACCCAGGTGGGGACAATGGCTCAGCAGTGACTTCAGAGAAAGTGGTGGAGCTCCAGACCACACGGTTCCTGCGCCAGAATCGGGGCAGCTCCTTCACTAGAGAGCTTCACACGGATGCCTCGAGCTCTAGTGTTCCCAGCCACAGGCAGAAACCAAATCCCCCTGGAATTCAGCCATCTGCTGTAAGGCTGTGCCCTAAACCTTCGGAGGTGCTAAGCCACAAGCAGCCACATGCAGCCTGGCAGAGCCCACTAGGAACCTTCTCCCCTGCCAAGGAGACCAAAGGGAAAAAAAACAAAACAAAACAAAAAAAAAACCAGGACAAAACCAAACCCCAAAACCAACCCAACAACCCCCAACCGAGATCCTAAATTTCAGACGACGTCCGTTTCGTAAAAAAATGGGGAAAAGAATTTAGCTGGAGGCATTTTGCCACCCGAGTGTGGAGTTTGCTGGATCGATAACCCATTGCCACTGCTCTCCCTTTGCTACTATGTACACTGATGCCGAGGTCCATAGATATCTTGCAATGCCCTGTGCTTGACCTCTGAATGGGAAATGCTTTGGAATGTCCATAGACGGGGAGATGGAACTCAGGGGAGGAGGTTTCCAGGGGGGAAGGGCCGGGGGGGAAGGGGGAGCCGCCGCCTCCTTTCACCTCCGGATGTCGGRGAAGTCGGACAGTTCGTCCGGCCGGTCCAGGATGCCGTGGGCCCCTTTGGGAGCGTGGCCCCCGGCTTTGACCCGGCCGTTGGAGTGGCCCTTGGTACCTCTCTCTCCCTTGGCTGCTCTGGAGCTCTCCCTGTGCTCGGGCTCGGCGTGGGCCACCATGTCCCCGCGGCCGGYGCCGGCCCTGCCGCCCTCCCCTGCCCTCTTGTCGGCGCCCAGGATGGCGTCTCCGTGCCCGGCCGAGGTGCAGAAGCTCAGGATGGAGCAGAGGCTTCCCCAGTTYTGTTCACACTGGGCCTGGACGCTCCTGGTTATGGCCTTTTTCACCTCCTCGCCGCAGGTGAGCAGGATGTTCACCAGGTCAACGTAAGGCCTGAAGGGAAATGGAGGAGAGGAGAGGAGAGAAAGGAGAGTCAGAAACCATCACAGGGGATTGGGGAAAGATCTGCCTGGGCCTCCCTGGGTGCTGCAAGTCTGGTGGTGTGAGCCCCTGAATGAGAAGTGATTGTGCACCATGGTAATGATGTAAACACCATSTCCTGATCAGCCACTGGGCTGCAGGAAATGCACAGTGCCATTCTGTCACCCTCTCTGGGTGGATCTACCCCTCCAGATACTCTGGGAGAGCTGGAACCCTCACCAGAGGAACAGAGGAGCTCCTGCCTGGAAGAACTGCTGTCTCACACATTCTGCCTCCATCTCTTTCTGTGCCCTTCCATCTTTATGGCTCAGGACATGTGACAAAGGACATTTGCTCCTGCCCAGAGCCATCAGCTTCATCCCACAGGCTCTCCCTCTGGGTGAACAGCAGGTACAGAGCCTTCACCAACAACCACTCTGCAGGAGAGAGGTGTTTTCTCACCCCTTTGAAAGCAATAAATCCTCAACCAGAGGTTCTCTGGATTTCCTCACCCTYTCTGGAGCATGGAGTGTTGATCTCCATCACAGGCAAGACCCTGTTTGGATTCAGGATCTCCCTGAACAGAGCTCAGACACGTGGAATCCACTTTGGTGGCACTTTTTCTTCCCGCACCAAGCTTTATTTCTTCATTTCCTTACAGAGCTTTCAGCATCTACCTTTTCCCAGCCAGACAAAGCCTCCAAACTCACCATGGCTCAATCCCCTCTGCACTTCCCACCCGCCCCTGAGTGTCCCCAAGGCACCAGCAGCTCSAGCACAGGCACTTGGGCTTCCCAGCCACAGGTCACCGAGTGCAGCAATTTTAAAATAGTTGTGGTCACAAGTTTTGTGGGTCAATATTGATGTTGTCTATTGACACAACTGCTCAGCTGCCTGCAGGCCCAGAAGGACGTGCTTAAAATCCTTCCACGGCAGGAACCGTCCACAGCACGAGTGAAAAACTGCCCAGGGTCRGCAGGAAGGGCTGTGTGGGGTGGGTGAACCTTCTGGGCACACCATGCAGCACCTCTGGTTGCTGTGGACAAGCCTGAATCTCTTTTTATTAAGGCAGAAGAAACAAGGAAAACYCAGCAGATTCAATCGCTTAAAGTCATTTTGAATCGCTAATCTTGGAGAGCCACCTATTCCCCCATCTCGAAATATTTCCCATGGTTGGATTGTTCCTGCTGCTCCAACAAAAAAAAAAAAAACAAAAAAAAACAAAAAAAATTACTTGGAATGCAGCAGGGACCAATGTGCCAAGGCCTGTCACCACTTTCACCATGAAAATCAGCCTGACCCCCACAGCTGACTCAGGAGGAGGCTTCGCTGCGTTCCGAACACTCATCGGGAGAGAACAGTCAGGACAAAACAGAGCACGAGCCTGAGAGCTGCCACTTGCCTCCCTGCTCTCAGGTTTTTGTTTTAAATGTAAAATAGAAGATAAGAGAGAGCTGAGCATGTTGAATACAAAGTGATCCAGCAAAAGGATATAAAAAAAACCCCAAACTCCAAGAAATGAGTTCCTGAAATTTGGCATAACCTTTGCAGAAATGTCTGTAAGAAAAAAGGTCGCTGGTATGACTAAAAAGTAGCTCAGCTGCCAAATATTTCAGGTATTCAGAGCCTGCCAGAGCCCTGYGGATTAATACTGGCCCATTTCTCCCTGCCTGTTTTACTTTGTGCATTTCAGCTGGCCTGACCAGAGTACCTGAACCGAGCACAAGGCTGCGAGTCAGCAGACGGGATTTTATTTCCAGCTCTGCCACACTCGCCTATTGATCTCGAACAAGTTCCTTAGTTCAGGAGCTTCAGAGATGGCCTCTAAATTTAGGGGAGGGGAGGAGGCTGGCTGGTTCTATTTGGGGAGTCCCGCATAGGAGAGCCGAGCTCCGGCTCCGGGAGATGCTGAGTGTAGGAAGCGCTAAATGAGATCATGCAAATTATAGGTGTTCAGCTGAATGACCCTCTCTTCTCGAGCCAACAACCCCCTGGTTCGGCTCCCCAGAAATAAGCAGCTGCCTCRGAGCATTCCTGCTTGAGCCTGTTCATAAAACAAGGAGAACTCACTCCTCCTCGGACAGGATTTTGGCTCGCACAGCTCTTTTCATCCCCAAATGATGGGGGGGTTAATTGGTGCCAAGTGCCCAATTTATAGCTGCTGACACAGCCCCAGCAGTGCCCAGAGAGGTGCTGCTGGGCAGGATGGAGCCCTCTCRCCCTCTCCCCCAGCCAGCAGGGCGCTGCCCATGGCCCTGGGCACGGCAGCTCTGCCCCCAGCCCTGCCTCTGATGCCAACCTCAGGAATGTCCAGGGAGAGGGCTTTGCTTTCAGGCCACCATGTTCAGCTCGCACAAACCACAGCCCAGGATTTATGGCAGTAAACTGGCACTGAAGCACCTTTCTGCAGCTCAAGTATTAGTGGGGGGTGATTTTCAGCACTAAAGGAATCAAAGCACAGCTCCTCTGGGTAGTGAGGAAAATGCAAAGCTAAAATTCTCAGAGAAGCAGTTCTGTATAAAAAAATTCTCTGTCATGACTGCTGGGATYTGGAGTTTCTGCACTAATATCGAGGCCCAGAGGTGTGGTAGGAAGATGCTCTAAGGTTAAGCCAGGCTGTGGCTCAGCCTCCTCGTTTTGGGAGTGAGACGTTCACCTGCAAGAAAAACAGGCTCTGATTTTTGCATTTGTGCACAAAGAGTCAGTACAAACAGCTTGTGCTCGGTTTGTTGCTGTCATGTAGCAGCTTTGATCAATTCCAAACAGGATTTGCGCCTGCCATTCCTCAGAGGACAGCTGTGCTCCCAGTCACAGGAATGGAGTCCTCACAAATCTGACTCGTGCCTTCATTTTGTACAACCCCATGTTTTATTAAAAAGCATCTGAGATTAATAAAGAGCAAGATGAATGGGAGATTACCTGGGGGACTGCAGCTCTTTCAGGGACAATTAACTACAAGACATTTCAAAGTRTGTATTTAAAGAAGAAATTATCATCTTGCTGACAACTTTGCATAAACCTTCTTCCCCTTTTTCTAGCTGTCACCTCTAACAGGATACTGGGGTCAAAACTATGCCTTTGAGCTCAGAAAGCAAGAAAAAAAAAACAACATTGTGAGATGCTTCTGGAAATGGCAGGCACTGATGGTGTCTTTGCCAGAGCACCAAAGGGGACTGGCAGATCCAACTTTCACCAATTTCACCTCCTTCCCCAGTCCCATCTCAACCTCTGCACTCAAACTCCACAGGGCCCTGCAGAGAAAGCTTTACCTTGGTGCTGTACATGGGAAAACAAGAGGTGCTTAAGGGCAGGAGGAGGTGAAAGAGCTCTGGGGCAGATGCACAGCCCATCAGCACTCCTGGAAGGAGCTCCCACGCTCTGACTGCACCAGCACCGAGGCACTTACTCATGCTGCAGCAGGTCTTTGAAGTGAATCATCTCCACAATGACCTGGACGTTCTCCTTGGCAGCAGAGCAGAGGTCATGCTTCAGGTAGCACTCCCGCTGTAACTGGAACACCATCTCTTTAATGGCAGGGCACTTACGGCTGATGCAGCTGAATTTATGCCTCAAGGCATGAGCCTTACACTTCAGAGCGTCTTTAATGAAGGATTTTCCCTGAGAAGGAAAGAAATGGAGTAGGTCTGTATTTTTGTCCATTAAGCACAGCAGCTGATTTATGCCCAGCCAGCTGCTTCTCTGCAGGACAATGTCAAGGGTTATTACAGAGCTAAGGATATCACTTAATGGCTTTCCCCTTCTTCTCTCTGTTTCTCTGCCTTTAAAGACCATGCCAAGTCACCCAGCTTTGCTATCCCAGTGACCCTGAAACACCCAGGGTTTCCTCATGGATACTCTGAGCTTTCCTCTGCCCCAACAGCTGAATGCCCAACAAGGGAAAGAGCAAAAGTAAGCACCTTCAAGTAATTCAGTGATGGAGTTACTGGATTAATTTGCTTTCAGGGTGGCAGAAACAACAGGTTCACACAAAGGAGAGGACATCCTGCCATGGCTCAGTTCCTCAGCACCACAAGCACATACCCATTCAATAACTCCAGGGTTTTTTTTTCGTTTTAAAATTAGTTTACAAACTCAGARACATGTATGCACAATCTATATGCACTTGCCCTATTCCCCAGCTCTCAGTATTTKTTTCTTCAGAGAGGGACTCAAATCRGYAYTAATAATAATAAYAGCAATAATAACAGTAATCCTACCCTGTCTTATGTCTGTTGCAAGAAATTCCAAGTGAGATTAAGAAAATCAAATCAAGAAGCTAAGAAGTAAGGTGGAGAAGAGCTGCTTTAGCAGCATCTCTTAACCAGTGTTTGGGATACCTTCATTCAGTTGGGGGGCACTGGTTGGTTCTTTCATTGCCCATCCTTGGTGGGCATCAAACCCATCCCTTTCCTCTTTTATGGGATCCTGCAGCTTGCTCAGATTCCCTTTATTTTGTTGAGCAATAGGCTCATGGAAGCTTTTTCCTTTTCATCAGCCTCACATTCTTTCAGGTGCTCTATGAAGACCAAATCCTTGCTCCCCTTTATCCCAAGAGGGTCCTGGCCCAGCTCTACTGACACTAAATAAGATTCACCCAGACCCACAAGCAGATGTTGTCCCCAAATTTTTTCAGGCCAGAAATGTTTCTTGCTGATCAAGGAGCTGCTTCAGTCACCATCCCTATTCACTTGCCCTTCCCTTCAGGAACAAACATAGCACAGTAAGCAAATTGGAATGAAAAAGAGAATTCTTATATAAACCCAAACTAACATCAATTCTCAGGTTTCAGAGCAGAGAACAGAAAATGGCCAGTGTTGGCCTTGTCATTTAATGCAGCTTGAAATAACTGTAGATGATACAGAGAGAGCTGTGAAAAGCCATGTCATGGCAGAGGCTAAAGTCACCTTCATGTTAAATAAAGCTCCAGGGGTTTAAATGTTGTGCTCTGGAGAGAGCSTGGATGTGAAACAGGCTGAATTTGATGAGCAGTGTCTGGGGATCTGGCATCAAGAGCTACTCCCAGCCTTCACAGGCACTATTCCCTGCCTTCCCAACTTCCCTTCCCTATTTCTTTGGTCAACTCTGCTCACTGACAGAAATACTGTGCRAAGATAAATGAGTGTTTTCTGGAAGCCACTGGAAATCAAGCCAGAGGTTTTCAGACACCCACAAGAGCAGCAGTTCMTGTTGTAATGAGTAGCCAGGCCCTTTGCACATCCTTGAGCATCTGCACCCAAAGCTCCAGCACTCCAAAAGTGCTCCCAACTGGGTGATCCCAGCAGCCCTGATGGGACAGGCTGGATCCTGAGGACAGCTCTACTTTGTGCCACGCTCTCAGCAGTGCCATGTGGCTGGTGCTTTTTGTCAATTTATTCTGTAAACTGCCCGGTCCAGCCAAAAGCCGCCGGCCTGATGGAATGTTCCCTTCCCTCCACACTGAAAYGGGAGAGGAGGTTTACAACACATAATAACAGGATGTCTCAATGATGCATAAATGTTCTGGGGAGAAAATGAAGGAGACAAACTTAATACCACATACCATGGAAGTAAYGTATTTTAACATCAGTGCTCGAACCCAAGGTTTGTTTGAGTGCAGCAGCTTCATGAGGTTGCCTGGGCTGGTTGTGTGCAAGTCCTGAGGGCCAACTTTAGAAACAGCCCGTTGGGAAACATTGAGATAATTCTAAATGAACTGGGAGCCCAAGCCATGTCTCAGAGTTGGCTTTGAACAAACATGGGGTAGAGGCTTAAGCCTCCCAGTGTTCCTTAAAACCATGTTTGGCTGTATGAAATGTTCTGCTGGAGTTATCCTGGGTACAGTGGGTGGAAGGGATCCAGGGAGCTGCAGCTACAGCCAGCCTGTCTCCTGGGACAGGTCACACACCGCTGCTTTGTTACAGTCCCGAGCTCCCCATTCTGGACTTTTCAACAGAAACATTCCYACTGAATTAGTAAATCACAGCAAGAGCAGACTCACTCTGGGAATTCTTTGTGCAAAGATGTGTTAAGGAGCTGCAGGGCATGCCAAGCGTGTGTTAGAAGCAAGCAGASAGGCAGGACATCTCCCCGTGTTACCTGGGCATCGAATTTTCCAGCGTTGTGCAGGAAGGTCATGCAGATCTCGTGTAAACCTCGGATCTCGCACGAGTTGTTCTCAAAGCATTCAAACACTCCACATCCCACATCGCCAGCGTTCACCAGGCAGTGCTGGATTTCAGCTAAAACAAGTATTGGTCAGAGTTAATTTGAAGAACTCTTCACAGAAACTGGTGGTGGGGTGGGGAGAGAGAGAGAGAGAGTTGTTCTGCTACCACCATCAGTTTGAGAGAAAAATGCGTGACAATGGTTAATTGTACCCGCAGCGTGCCCGTTTCTTGCAGGAATTAGGCCAAAACTTGGGTGTATTACGTTATGAAAGTGATATCCAAGAAGAAAATGCCAAATCCACTATGCTTACGTCAAGCTACTGCACTTGAGAACTGTCTCATGCTCTTGCATTCCTCTCGAGCAAAGGACAGGCTTGATTTTTGCTCTCTGGCCTTGTGCAAAGCTCCTCCATCAGACTTAAGCACCAAAACGAGAAGCCCAGGACCCAGAGAGCCAAAAATTTTCAGTTTTGGTACTTTGAGCAAGTTTTTGGCCATTTAGTAGTGTTTTTTACAGACCACTGAATTTTGCCTGTCAGGATGTCTGACAAGTTAATGGCAAAACTCTCTCTGATACATGAAGTCCTTTGCACCAAGAGTTGTATAAAAATGCAGCTGTGTGCTCAGCCATGCAGAAATCAATAGAAAAGAGTTATATTTATATATGTAGTCCATAAAATAGATGTATTGGAGCTAGCAGTTACATATGTTTTATTCTGCCCTTTCAGATGTTATGTAATACTGCAAAAAATGCTGTCTAATACTCACTTTCAAAAAAAAAAAAAGAAACCAACCCAAACCCCCACCAACCCAAAAATCTAATTCTTAACACGACAGCTCCTGGTCCTTTAAAAAAAATGGATGTAGTAGTACTGCCAGAGGGAAGGTGGTTGCTGAAAAAGCCTGGGGATAAAGTTAAACAGGGGCAGCTTTTAGCCCAGAACTGAGGATGCTAAGAATTCCTGCGCTCTGTGCCCTGTGGTACCTTTAATTAAAGTTCGCCCTTGGGAGCCAGCCTAATCCCCCTCGAACCGCAGCGTGTTTCAGCCATCCCCAGCCTCCCCCTCTGCCATGCGGTCCATTTGCAAGTCTTTACAGCAACTTTCGGTCTAATTTCCACCCGCTGCAAGGCAGAGCGAGGAGCCGCGGATGTAAATGCGGAGCCTGCCGGAGTTCTCACGACCCCCCACCAGCTCAAACCCGAATCACTGCCGCCGCACATTTCACCCCTCCACATCCCCCCGCTTTTTTTCCCCTTCTACCTGCCCTGAAGCGCATCTGGGGGTGGCACAGGGGAGCCCCGGGGTGGGATCCAGGGATTGTCTGAGCCACAGGCGGAAAGCTGCGCAAACACAMCCGCACCGGGGGAGGGGARAAAGGGGCACTGGAGCCCTTTGTGGAGCGCTGCGGAGCGCGGAGCCCGGCGCTTTTCGGGGCCGGGAGCGCGGCTGTGGTGCTTGTGTTGGCATCCGGATGCAAAGCCTTTGCCGGATCACATGTCCTGGCTCCAGCGTGCTGAGAACTGCACAGTGCCGTGATTCACATGTGGCAGTCCCTAATGGGCATTCGTGCATTCCTGCTCGTGTGTGTTTAAACACGTCTCGCAGCACGGAGAGTGTTAAAAAAAAAAAAAAAGGGAAAAGGGAGAAAAGGAGGGGGGGGGGGAATGAAGGRGGGGGGGAAGGGAAAGCGTCTGGATCCCGCGCTCTCTCTTTGCACGGCTGGGAAGCGATCCAGCGAAGTGCACGCCCCAGCTCTCTTTTCCTAGGCAGATAATACCCGGGGGAGGGAGCGCGGAGGGCGGGAGAGGAGGAGAGAAACCCCCGGCCCGTTGCATCACTGGCCGGCTCCCTCCGGAGAAGGCAGAGCAGCGGTCATCCCGCGGCCCTCCCGGCCGCCCCCCGGCTCTCCACCCGCTCCCAAAGTGCTGCGCCGAGAAAACTTTCTCCTCGCCGGGCTCGCAGCATCTCGGCGGGGCTCCGGCACCCCGGGGCCGCTGCGATCCCGGCACCGCCGCTGCGATCCGGGCGCGGGGCCGCGGCCGTGCACGGGCAACACGTGCTTGGCACGGCCGGGCTTTAAAGGTAATTGGGAGCGAGCTCCGATTTCCTGCCATGATTTGCGCCTGACACTCGGACACCGAAATAAAACGCCTGTCATAACTGCACGCGGCTGCAGCGGCGAGGGGAGGGGGACACGCAGAGAGGCCAGCCCGGTCCCCCMACCGTACCTGTGTTCTGCAGGGACAGGCGCCCCTTCTGCTGCGGGGTCCTGTCCTGCGGCCCCTCCGGCGGGTGCGTGGCCTCAGTGCCCGCGGCCGCCCGGGCGCTGGCCGGCAGCAGGGCCAGAACCAGGGCCAGCAGCAGCAGCGCCGGGGCCAGCAGCAGCTTTCCGCCGAGCTCCGCGCACATGGTCGCGCCTTCCCCCCGCCGCCGCCGCCGCCGCCGCGTCCTCCCCCGCGGGGTGCCGCACCCGGGCCCAGCGCGCTGCTCGCCGCGGCCCCGCGAACCGCATGTGCCCGGCGCGGCGGCGAGCGCGGAGTGGCGGCGGCGGCGCCGGAGGGAGCCTCAAATATCCCCGCCGAGCCCCGGTGTCACTCGCATGAGGGAGCCGAGCAGGTGTCGCTCCGCGCCGCGGCCAATGGCAGCCGCCGCCCCGCTCCGCCCGCCCGCCGGGGGCCGGCCCTGCCCCGCCGGCAGGTTGCAGCCTCCCGCCCCCCGCCCCACCCGCGCCGCGCCGGGGGATGGGGGTGCGGGGGGCAGCGGGGCGGGGGGAAGGGATGGAAAAAAGAAAAAAATTAATTTTTTATTTTTTTTTTTAAAAAGGTGAAAAAGCGGGATTTTGACAAGCTTTGGAGGGAGGCGGCAGCGAGTGGAAGGTTTCCCCCCCACCACCCCAACCATCCCTGCGGGGAACTTCGGGGCGCTCCGGCCGCCGCTGGCTTTGCGAGGGGAGCAGCGGGGTGCCCGTGCCCGGAGCCGGCTGCCAGCGCCGGCCGTCCTGCGGCACTGCCGCCTCATGGCAAGACTTGATTTCAAAGAAAAAAAAATCCCTTTCCGAAGCAGCTATTGCAATGACTTTCTTGGAAACCCTCCGCTCCCTCGTTTTTTCTCCCCCACCCTGGGATCTGTGCGCCCTGCTTGCTTCGAGAGGATTTGGGCCAAACGCATCACTTAGCGGGGAAAGTGGTACCCGGGTGCAGACCTGGTGGGCGAACAGGGACGGGCGCTGCTTTCCCTGGGGGAGAACCCCCCTCAGACCGCCACCACCRTGGGGAGAGCATCACCCTTGCAATCCCCCCATCCGCCAGCTCTTGCTGCTGCCTTTTGTCCGGTAGCTGGAGCCGGGGTGGTGGGGGGGAGGACACGACACGCACACACAGCACAGGACGACGTAGGAAAATCCGTAGCAGGTGATGAGAAGTGCCGCGCTGGCTGGGGAGGGGCGACTGTGTCTCCCCTTGCCCTGCCGTAATGCACATCAGATGTTTCATCAGACCCCGCCGGCCCCATGCGCTCCTGCCCCCCCTTCCCCAGCAGCCCCCGAGCCCCCTGTGCCGTGCCGGGGGCGGGGGTCCCGCCGGGGGGGCGCAGCCAGGAATGTCTCCAGCTGCTGCTGCSGCCCCGCTTCCTCACAGCTGTCAAAATGCACTTGAGGAAATCCACTCACACCTCCCCGAGCAAGGGTCTCCTCGGCGGGACGTGACACCGCGCCGCAGGACCATGGCTCCACGGCTACGCAGCAGCAGGCACGTCCTGACACCCCCTCGCAGCCCCCAGACAGCTCCGCTGGCCTCGGCCTTCCCCGCTTTGCTCTCAGGCCCGGGGCTTTTGTGTGCCGGGGCTGAGCCCTGCGAAGTTTTATTTTAATTTTTATCCTTCCGAAGGATTTGACATCGAAACGTCTTTTTTTTTTTTTTTTTTTTTTTTTTTTTTTTTTTTTTTTTTAAGGTTGAAATTCTTAACGGTGGTGCCGAGCTCGTGTGGAAATTCCCTTTTATCAGCGTGCTGCTGCCTTCGGAACTGCAACTTGCAGCTTTCCTCCGAGGAGCTGGCTGTGCCAGTGCGGATGTCTGCAAAGCCCCCGTGCCCCTGGGATGGGCTCTGCCCCTTTTGATAGCAGGGCTATTAAAGGAATAGGTTTTTCTTCTTCATTTGTACCTCACCCGGAGTGCCTGGCCTTTCTTTTGTCCTTGTTCTCTTACTATTTTTACTGCTGAAGAGTTTTGCTSTTTAATTGCCTTTGCTAGGTCTAACTTAGCTCGAGTTCAATGACCGGGGGCTGCACAAGCTGAACTCAGGCAGGAGAATTTTAGGGATGGCAGTTTTTCTCCGTTGCAGAATGTAACAGCCAGTGTACTGCTCCTAACCAGCAAGTTTGTATGAAATATATATAAAATTTAATTCTTTTCCTGATGCCTCACAAATGATGCTTTCCCCTCATGCCTTTTCTCTGCTGCTTTCAGTCTGATGCCCTCCTGCAGCCATTCCTCATCAATCTCTCTGCCTCTTTTTAAAGTTACAATTTTTGGACAGGTTTTGCCCTTTTGACTTTTGAATTCTGTGCATCCTCCACGCTCCAGAGCCCACGTTCCTCCCTCTGGTTGAGTTCTGCAGTCAGGTCTCATAATTTCTCACAGCGTGTCCTTCGAACCCTGCAGCCCTGGCTGCCCTAGCGGGCTGCTCCTCCCTTTCAGCCCGTGTCGTATTAATCGCTCCAATCAAGGTTATTTTAACATCTTTTCCCTACCAAAACCGTGCCTAAAATAGCCCCTCCTCGTGTCACTTTGGGGAAGAAATCTGCCGGCTGTCAGCACGTTGAGCATTTTCCATCTCCTGCTGCTCAGCGCGCAGAGCCGGGCGGCGGCGGGTGGCACCCGGAGCTGCGGGATTTCTCCCTGCTTTTTCTCTGCCGAGGTCACTCCTCAGGGTGCTCCMGGGATTAGAGGAGCTGGTCCCAACGCAGCCCTTCCCGAGGCAGGCAGGGAGCCGTGGCTGCGCTTCAGAGGTGAGCGCTGCGAGGGAGAGCGCGCGTGATCCGCAAGTCATGCTCCAGCAAATCTGGCTTCTCTTGGAGCGTGGTGKAACTCGCTCCCTGGCAGCGTGATCCGCTGCCAGCCCGAGTGCCAGGTAATTTTATAGAATGGTAACCAATCCCGGTGATTTAGGGGCTGGTTTCCAGGACGCTTGGGATGCCTGAATCCCGAGGCACTGAGCCTGCAGCTTTGCGTGGACACGGGAGCCTGGCAGCGGGACGGTGTTTGAGGACATACTTGAGAGCAGGAACACTTCAGAGAGGATCACAACTCCCTCCAGAAGTCCTGAACACCTGTTGGAATTCAGGAACACTCTCTGAGCTCCCTTCATTTAACACACAGAGGTTTTACTTTTTTAGAGCGTTTCATAATTCGATGAAGGGCTTCGTACGATCAAGCAGTGGCACGAGCATTTTGMAATGCTGAAATACCTTGAAATGGGAAGCGTTTAATTGTTTGGCGTCTTGAGGGAGATGAGCTGCCCTCATGACTATTAAGAGGGCTGTGTCCCTGCAAGGCCGTTGCAGGCAGGTGAAGGCTGAGGAATGCTGTGCAAGAGGCTCCAGCGCACAGGGMGAGAGCGAGCACACCCAGTCCTGAAGGACGGAGAGGCCGATCACTTCAAAAGGGAAGAGGATGCTGCGGGGAAGGTGTGCCAAGGTCTGCATTCTGGGTTTTCTATCTGTGACTAAACACATTTCACAGCCGAGTTAGAGTAAGCYGTGCTCTGCAGCCCCAGCAGCGCGGTGGGATTTCATCAGACTCGAGAAAATAAGCAAGACAGAGGAATTTAGAGTTGCCTCTTCTCCCGGGTAATTTTCCCACCTCGGGGCTYAGTGCAAGGTGCTGACTTGCAAATGACACATCATTACGAAGCCAGCCCAGAGCTGCAAAGCCCTGCTGGGAAAGTGGTCAGGAGAGCGGAGGAAGCTGCCTCTTGGACTTGGTTCCTCCTGGTGTGGGACCTGCTCGGGGAACATGTTGATTTAATTCCCACAAGTTGGTTCTCGGATGGTGCGAATAAAGCTGCTGACAGTGACTGAAACGGGATTCGACACTGGAGAACCTGTTAGGCTCAGGAAATGTAGGTCTGTTGGGAAGCTTCAAAGGGTTGTATTTTAAGCCACTTTCCCCCTCTCATCATCAATTTAGTGTTTTTGAATCTCTGGTAATGAGTTTTTATGAGGAACGAGCAGAAGTTGACAATGAAGTCACAGAAAATGAAATGCATGGAAAGTCAGAGCTAATTGTATTAAACATGATACAGACGTTCTCTTCCCGAYTGCTTGTACAAAAATCATGTATTTGAGAAATGTTCTCAATGAGTTATGCATCAGGTTTAAAGCTGATCTGGCTTCTTTGATAAWATATGAACTATCTGAAAGATTTATAGGAGTCAGACATGCTGCCGAATTCAGTTCAGTATTTAGAGCAGCAGGAAACCACTGGGAGATCTTTTTAAAACAGGTATTTACTCAAGTAATTGGTTACTTTTAATGTGGAAGAAGAAAACCTGGTGCAGCTATATTGGACTTGACATAAAAGACAGGTGTGTAATTTGTGAGCAAAACAGGGTGGAATGTACACACCGTACCTGGGGAGGTATTTCAAGAAAGACTACTCCTTGAGACAAAAAGCCAAAACAACCGACACGCCAGGTTACATGCCAGAATTGCTTATTCCTCAGTTAATCAGCTGTGTAATGAGTGTCCAGAAACAATCCCTTCTGCCCAGGTAGTTTAAGTTTCAAACTTCGTCAGCTTTGTGGCCGTCATAAAATGGATTACATGGAAGCTGGACGAGAAACACATGTTTCTGAGAACATTTTGGTTCAAATAATAATAAAAAAAAAGTGGCAGTGCTGGTGCCAACAATTTACTGCAGAATATCTGAACCAGATGCTGTTAAACTATAATTCCAAGCAATTTGCCAGAATTATGCATTTACTTTATTCTTTAAGTTGAGCTAAAGATATGTATGTTTTCTATTACTTGTGGATATAAACAAAAATGTGACGTGATTACAGYGAATATAAGGCAGATAATGCCCAACAGTCAGGATTTCTGTGGCTACTGCACGAGCTAAAGGAAACTGGAAGTTCTGTTGGCAATTATGTGTGACAGGGTCATCAAAATAGGGCTGTTCAGATTGAGACATATCAGACTGCAGTCTGCTTAGTCACCACAGAAGAGCTTTGGCCAAAAAACATCCATTTCTTCTTTTTTTCTCACAGTAGTACATTTTTTTTTTTCACCCTGAGAGAACGGGGAAGAGATCTGCAAGATGTGGAGTGTTACACTCAGCTAAAATAACCCATGGAAGGGACTCCTGTTAGGATAARTTTTTAGGCAAATCTCCACCTTACCGGTTCTCACCCAGCTGAGCTGCTCTGTGRTGKTTGAAATGACAGACACTGACATCAGAATTCACTCCTTGCAAGGACAGAGTGAGTTTCAGCAGGAGTTTTTATGACACTGCATGTCATTCGGGTTATAAAGGCTTCTASCTGGCACTCCCACAAGTTGAAACAATCTTTACCTGCTGTCAAGAGGCTCTCAGAAAAACCT